TTCACCACTAATAATAATAATTGTAATGACAATACCAATACTAATACTATCACTACTATCACTACCATCACGATCACTATTATTTCTGCTGCCGCAGAGACTATTACTACTTCTGCCGTTCTTTTCGTTGTGTTCTCTTATTATAAACATAATAATTTTGAAGTGTGAAATTTGGCTTTTAAGCCAAAAACTTAATAGTGTCACTTTGCCACCTCAGGACATTATTGTGCTTCTACCAAAAGGCTTCGTCAGTTCAACCCTAAGTCGTCCATAGCTATCTTCTAGCCGGGCCACTCGCCTTGTAGCTATCCAATAGAGTGTTTGGTTTACTGTTGTACTGTTCATGATTCTAATCATGTGATTTTGCCAGCTCATCTTACCAGAGGTTCGTGGCTGTCAAGGTAGATGATTACTCGGCCTGTACGCCTGTCCACTCCGAGAACCACACGATGCCATAGACCGTCAGTGAGGCGTCCCGAAGAACCGCTCCCAGATATCTCATAGACTCCGTCCTGTCCGAACACACTGTAGACAACATAAAGTCGACCGTTGAGTAGAATCAGTGTAAAGTGGATCTGCTCGGCTTGAGTTGCCTCGCGAGCCTGTACATGCGGGAGACAGAAAAAATCATGAGACTAGAGATCTGAGATTGAACAAATCTCGTATACTGCGGCCTTGAGATGAAGAAAAATAAAGAGGAAATTAAAATGTACTCTTTGTAGAGGGTCTATATATATATGCATATACATTTTTATATACATATGGTGAATGTATGGATAAGGCAAACTTGCATTCGAGAAAAAAGCTTGATTTTAAGAAATATTTTGATGCAACATTTTTAAAAGAGATAAAAAGAGACATTCTTCCATGTCTTGACTTTGCTTTTGTACGTTCTCTGCAAAAAGATAAGCGGAATAGTAAGGAAAGGGGGCAAGAAAAATGGCTTTCATAAAAACTTTGACACTTTCTTCAGTTATTCCCACTTTTAGAGATCACTTTGATCCACTATCCAAATCTGGTTGCTACAATATAAGGTTTTCATGTGGTCGTTTATTTGTTGACGAGGCCTTTTGTCCAATTCTACAAAGGGTTGCTGAATATAAAAGTGCCTAAACAAGTTGTAGGGTTTAAAAGCTTGTAGTGTGTCTGCAGATAAGGGCACAATAAGAGAAGCCATCGAAATCAACAACTTTGACAATAAATTAGGTGTCAGTAACATTGATAAATGTTAACTAAAAATTATTTATGCTTAATTGGGAAGGTATTTATCCGCATGGAAAAAGGAGGCAACAAAATCACTTTAATCCTTATCAAAATGCATAGATTTAGGGTATATATACAGGATTTGAGTAAGAGCTGGCGAATTATCATGACTCCTTAACTTGAATACGGTTGGCAAGAATGTTTCAGTAAAGCCATCCAACGGCTCGTCAAGAGGAATAAGCATTCGTCTCATTGTGAAATCGGCATTATAATTTCTTCTATAAATGGAAAACCTAGTCAAATTTCAAATAGATAAGTATGGTAAATTTATTTATATTCAAAATTGTATTTGCTAGCATCATCTTCGACATGGTTAGCAGCTTTGTGGATATTTAAGTTGTTTGACCGTGTTTTCGCAACTTGGTCATATTGGCAGGAAGACATAGAGTAACGCACCTTGACCGGAGTCCATAGTATGCATGATGATTTCCAGAGTCGGACCGTGGACTTGGTATATTCCCAGACGTGTCGCCGGCATCGTCAGTGAGTCTTGCCATTTTAGCACGACACTACAACACGTCAGAGAGACAAGTGAAGTCGATCCTTTGAACAAATTTGTGCTAAACAGTTGTGGTGTCTCTCCTTCTGTTTTGAGCTATTCACTTATCCCATATCCTCGTATAACGCCTTCAATATCACAAGTTCTTACTTGTTTATCTAGACCTATTTGAAATCTATTCACACTCCCCGCTGGTTTCCTCATCCCTCCCACCACAACTGATTAGCACACATTTGGTATTTTTGACGAGTTGTAGTGTGGTGCCAAGAATGGCAACGCTCACTAATGATGCCAACTACGATATCGGCGAAACGCCTGGGAATGTACCAAGTCTACGGTCCGAATCTAGAAATTATCAGGCATACTATGGACTCCAGCCAAGGTGCGTTACTCTAGGTCTTCCTGCCAATATGACCAAGTTGCGAAAAAAGGGTCAAACAACTTCTATACAACGAAAGGAGACCGCGACCATACAAAAGGCCACACCATCCTGGTCTTCATATCTTAGTGAGTATTTTTCTAGTATATATGTATACACATACACAC